TTCCCAGGCAGAGGGTGCTTACCATATGATGCAAAGAGTTCCAGGCTGTGCAAAGGGGGTACTGTCATGGTTGCTATGGTGCACCACCCAGATCCTGCCTCTGGGACCAAGAAGCTTATCCCCAAGTTGCTAGGAGTATTGGCTGCTGAACGCTCACAGCTGAGTCTCTCCCTGGGCATTTCCGTCAGCTTTCAAAGGGAGCTGCCTTGCCTGACTTCATGAGGGATAATCTGCCTAGTCAATGTTGCCGGGCGGGGGTGGGGCGTTCAACTTCAGTTGGGGCAGCTCTGAAGTGTCACCCCAACCCCCGAGCTCCCTGTGGAGGCGTCCTTTGTTGTGACTGCATCCTTGATCAATTTCTTCCTCTGCTCAGTCTTGATTCCTTCACTCCCTCAGATGTGTTGTTTCTGAGAGCACTTCCCAATAAACTTCCCACAAGAAGCAAATCTCTGTTTCATAATGTTTCATGAGAAACCTGACCTAAGACAGTCACCTCAGTCACCTAAGATTCCAACCTTTAGGACCCACGTGAACAAGTCTCATCCATTTGAAGGTGGACCGCCTGACCACCTTTATGTCCATGCTGTGGTTCCCTCCACCAGCCCTCACAGAATGTCAGGTGCATCCTACATCCTGGCCACCTTCCACCAAACGCCCTCCAGCTTGTGTGTTTCCCCATGATAAAGCCACCGAGACTGAAGTCCCTGAGTGCATTAGATGTGGTCTGACATGCCAAGAATGAGAATGTGATCGACTCTTCCTTGGTTCTAGAGCCCTGGCTGCACACTGGAACCAAGACTGAAGCTCTTTGGAAATCCAAACGCCTCACTTCCTTCCCCTCTCCCCACCCACCCATCCCAGGTCCTGAATCAGAGGGTCTGGGAACAGCAAGGAGCATCCAGTGTTACCAGAGCTTCCCAGGCGATTCTGATTGATATCAAGATGGACAGTCACTGGGCTCAGTACTCCACTTTAATTCAGCAGCCTAAGAGTCTGTCCGTTTCTTTGGCAGCCTTCTCGTTTGACTCATATGAAGCTGGCTGTCGGTGAAAACCCTCAGTTTTATTCACACATGCTTCTGCTAAGCCGCTACTTCCCCACCCTGTCCTTGTACAGTTGGTGCCTTGGAGCCAAGCCCGAATCTCTCAGTTAAGCCCTGTTCATTTTACCTTGTGAAGTTCAGGCTGTTGCTCCAGCAGGTTAGGATGTTTTGGGATCCTGAGTCTGTCTCTCAACACCTCCCCTATCCTCACTGGCTTCCTGCTATTCACAAAGTTGAGGGGCCGGTTCAATGTGGCTTTGCCCAGGTCCTGATAAACAGATGGACCAGGATGGGAGTAAGGAGGGAAGCAATCAATCAATTCTGAGGGCACTCCTTATGTGCAATGCACCATGCCCACCTGGAGAAGGATGTTGTCTAACTTATTTCCATCACACTTATGAAAATGGGTCCATTTCACAGACAGATAAACAGAGGCAGAGAAGACGAGTAATGTGTCCAAGAACACCCGGTAGGGGGAAGAGCCGATCCTTTTCCTGCCATCTTCAGCTCTCATCTCTAGGTTTGTCACCTCTCAGAGAAAGTGACAAGGCTGGCCCTTCTGATGGGACAGAGATTTTTAGAGCTGGAAGGAATCTTGGAAATGATAAAAAACTTAACAGATCAGGAAGCTCAGGTAACTTGCCAAGATCTCACAGCTAACCTTTGCTCTGGTTGACAGTAAAATCTAGGTTTCTTGAGGACGGATCCAGTGTTCCCCTAGTTACACCTCCAGGTAAGTTTGATCCAAAATGATACTTCAAAGGGAAACACATATGGGACTGATTCTTTTCCACTTCTAAGTCCAGGATGGTTCCTTCTATGATTCTAGGAGGGGTTGGCATGGGAGGACAGGCAATGTCTTCCTCCTGGGTTTCTGCAGAGAGCTCTTGATTGCCTGTCCTTTTCCCCTAAGGGATTAGAGCCTCAGCACCTGCTACACAGCCTTGTCCTTGCCTGCATTCACACTCAGCTCTCAGCATGCAGAGGGTGGCTGGATCTGGAGCTACAGCTGAACATACAGCCGGACTGATGGACACCTCCTGGTCTTCACTGTCACGCCTGCCTCACCAGCTGTGATGGTGTGGAGGTGGTGGGAGGTTGGCGTTTGCCCGTGATGTGACTTCACGAGTTCAGGCTGCTTGGGGGACAGCCTGCTTCAGGAGCACCCCTAATTCAGCCTGCCCTGGGAAGGTGGGTCCAGGCCCTGATCCACACAAACTGCTGGAAAAAACCCCACAAAAAACCCAAAGAGCAAGTCAGTGAATACAGTTGTGGAAAGAATAGCAATATACACTGAGGAGGAAGTAATAAGAAACTGCTTTTCTCCTCTCAGCGTCTGCTAACAAGTAATAATAATAATATTGAGCTCATGTGCAGGCTGGGTATTAAGTACTTTACATCCATTATATTGTTTAATCCTTATAGAGTCCTGTGAGGCATAATTATCCCCATCTTACAGGTAAGAAAGTTGAGGCACGGGACCGTTACAAGATAAACCAGCTAGTAAGTGGCTGGGTTCATGGAGTAGTGAGCCCAACCTGGCTCCCTGTGCCCAACTAGGAAACAGATCTTTGAGGATGCAACATCTGAGCCAATCTTCATTCCAGAAGTAAACTAGCCACTGGCCCAAGACACTCAACAGGCCTCCGGGCTTCTGAACCCCACTGCTTCATCAGGTAAGTCATGGCATCAGGTAAGAAACCCACCTAATTTGACTCTCTTGTTTGTCTGGTAACTGGGCCACCCAAAGATCTGAGTTCAACTTCCACTGCTAAACTTCTCTGATGAACAGGTTGAGAAACCAAAAAGCAAGAGGTCCCCACACAAAGCTGCCAAGTGGGCAAGTGACTTTGCCAAAGCTCGGACATGCCAAACTCTCCAGCATACCCATCTTCGCAACTGATCCAGACCCAGCAGCAATTTCCCTAAGGGTCTGCCTTCGGGGTTCCCAGCCTTTCCCCAGGAGGCACGTGCTCTCCAGTGCGCCCAGCAGGGGGCATCCTCGCCCTTCACCTTCTGCCTTGGGGGGGATGAGATTGGCAGACTGTCTGAGGCGCCCTCTTCTCAGCTCAGCCCAGGAGCCAGTCTCCCAAACTGTGTATTCGTGTGACCTCTCTGATTTTCTCTGTATCCAGTCTACCATTATTTACACAATATTTTTGTCAATTCACATTTTAAAAAACCTAAATGTAATTTTAAAGGAAAAATATCCCTGTTGGATGAAGGTTTTCCCAGCTCCCTTTGCTGCTTGGATTTCTTGCATTCTGAGGGCTGCTTTGCAGGATGTGGGCAGGCGAGGACAGACGAAGCTACAGTTGGGGGTCTCAAGAACAGGGTCCAGGCAGTGTCATCACTGGGTAAAGATGGGTGAGGCTTTATTCTGTGGATTCAGAGCCTCAAACTTCAAAGCCGGAGATAGAAAGGGTAAAAGAGTAAAGAGCCCTGAAATCCTTGCCTTCCTTGTGGCGCCCCCAATCCTGTGAAATGAGAGAGCCTCCACCTACCCCATCCCCATGCCGAGGGAGAGAGAGGGGATTGTCTTTCCAGGCCCAAAGTAGAGAGAAGGCTGCAGGGTGGACCAGAGGGAGGAATTGGGTACAGGAGCAGGGCCGGCTGCAGGTGACAGGTGCAGGGGCTTTGGGAAGGGACAGGGATATCCCTTGCAAAATGCATTCAAACAGACAGAGAGGGAACCTGATCCCAGGAAGGGAATCGGAAGAGCAGGAGACACCAGAGGGGCCCCCAGAGGAGTCCAAGGCTGGAGGGATGAGGGAGGAGAGATGAGAGACAGCAGGGCTTAGAGGGAGGGGAGGGCGGCTGAGTCCTGAGGGCACAGGGCATGGCAGCATGGAGGATTCCCAAGCTGTTTCCACAGGTTCAGTCAGGCCTTGCTCCAGGATCCACCCCAGTGGTCTTAGAATCATTTTTCCAGGGCTTATTTTTGTGCTAGGAACCCCCTCAGCTCCAACCCCTAGAGGCCCCCATCCTCCTGCCTTGGGCCGGACTGGCCATCAGAGGCAGTTGTAGGGCCTGGGTGAGGGTCCCGTTGTTGTCAGGGGGTGGCACAAATGTCCACGGTGGGACCTGGAACAGAAAGCCGGGCCCTGAGAGGGGAAGGAAGTCCGGGGCAGAGCTCCCGGCTCCCCCAGCTGGGTTAAGAAGGGTGATGAGAGCAGATTAGGCAAGAGGAAGTGGGCTGGGCTGGACTGGGCTGTGACTGAGCTCCCAGGCCGGGCCCTGGGCCGGAGCAGAGTTAGGGCCATAAGCCCTGAGCAGCACCTCAAGCTGAGGCCCCTGCGAGCAGTCCTCCTGCCCCAAGCATTCTCTCCCACAGGCCCCGGCACAGGGCAGAGGCGGGAGCCTGGCAGGACAGCAAGGTGGAGGCTGGTGGCTGAGGGGTGCTTGAAGCAGCAGTGTGTGGAGTGGCGGCTGGTCAGTGAGGTTTCAGGCCTCGTCCAGGTCCGGAAGGCCAAGAGGAGGGAGTCACGTGTGACGCGGGTGAGGGGCGCGATTGCCTCACTTGCACCTCATTTTCATGGGGAGGAAGCACCGAGAAGGAGGGGCTGGGTGTTCAGCAAACTTTGCTTATTCAAAACGCTCAGTCCCAGCTGGACCCTGCTTCTCCCTCAACTCCCACCTCGAGGGTGGTCCCAGGCTCCTCGGCCTCTGAGAGTGACCCCTGTGCTCCGGACCCCACCTCTGTGGGGGTCCCTTCCCCTCGTGAGCTCCTTGCTTGCCCCCCTCAGTGTCCACCTGGGCAGCAGTATCCCCAGCTGGCCCCTTCCCACATCTGACCAGGGATGACCCCTGGGACGGAGAGGCCCCTGCTCGGGGCGGCCAGGCCTCGGGACCTGCTTCTTGAGCAGCACAGAGAAGGAAGCCCTGAGCAGGAAGTGCTGAGGCACCGGGTGAGGGCGGGGGGCTTTGCGGAGGGGAGCCCGGCCTCCCTGGGCAGGAGCAGTGACCACAGCCCCCCACTGCGGGCAGGCGGGACGAGGTTGATTCAAAAGGCAGATGGGCCTCTGGCCGAAGCATTCAGCTCTGCACCCAGCTACTGCCCCCCGCGGGCTGTAAGAGCGCCCAGACTTCCGGACTAGCTGGGGCGGGTGCCATGTGAGCCCAGCTAGTCTCCCCCCACCCCCGCCCGCCCTCCTTCCTCCCCTCCTTCTGTGCCCTGTGCCTGCCCAGCCTCTCATAAGACGGACGCTTGGCACTATGTCTCTGCTTAACCCTGTCCTGCAACCCCCCGGGGTGAAGGCCTATCTGAGCCAAGGGGAGCGCTTCATCAGATGGGATGATGTGAGTGGGGCTGGGCGGAGGGCTGCAGGGGTGGCGGCCGCCCTGCTTGGGGCTTTGCCGGGGTGGGAGGGGGGCTGGCTTGGTTTATGTCTGCCAGGACTCAGGCGCCTGTGTTGCTTGGCCAGGCAGCTGACACAACTACCCAGATAAACAAACCTGGGCGGGAGGGTGTGTGCCCCCAGTCTGTGTCCCTGGGCTGCTGGGGCTAAGGCTCTGTGTCTGGATGTGGGAAGATGATGGCTGCCTGGGTGGTCATAGGAGGAAATTTCTCTGGGTCTGGGTCTGTCTTTCCCCAAAGCCCCCAAGAAGAGAAGGGTGTGTTGCTCCCGGTCTGGGCAGTGGGAGGAAAGGTGTCCCAGAGCTGAGGCAGGGCCAGCAGCAGAGGTGAGCCAGGCCCCTACTCCCAGCACAGACAGCCCATTCCAGCCCCAGACGGACGCCTGGACTGGAATCCTCACCCCTCCCCACCTGGCCCCGGCCCTGTCCCTGGGATGCCCTGCTCTCCCCCTGCTGCTGTGAGGTGGCCACGAAAGGCTCCTGGACCCCAAGGGAGAACTGGAGGCTCTCCTCCCAGGGGCCTGGGAGGGAACGGATAGACTTCTGCTTCCGCCAGCTGCTCTCAGCCTGGCTCCCTGACGCCGGCCCGTCTGCAGGGAAGGGGAAACCACACTTTGCCCTGCACCTCTGTCTCCACTGTGTCTGCTGCTTCCCAAACTGGGCCTGCTTTCCAGCCTCCGGTCCTCCCGGAGCCTGAAGATGTGTGTGTTGCCATAGGCCAGGGATTCTCCTGGGCGGGTGAGAGGAACAACTTGGGGCCCCTCCTTCAGGGAGGTAAGACTGCTGGGCTGGCCCAGCGTGAGAGTCAGCACTGGCTGCTCCCAGGAAGGGAACCTGAAGTCTCTGGACTGGCTGTGGGGCGGCGGGGGGGGGGGGGGGGGGGGGGGGGGAAGGAAGGGCCCTTAGGGCTGGTTCCTCCTCCTTACAGGTGGGATGAGGGGGCTCTGAGTCTGTGAGTTAAGGCTCTCAGGCCTTTGGGGCTGGGCTAGGCTGAGTAATCTGGTTGCCATGGCTATGGGGAGCGGGCCTGTGGTGAGAGACTTTCTGCTTCCCCACGAGTGGTGTGGTCACTGCGGCATGGTGGAGCCATGTCCCAGGAGCCTGTGGAATGAGGGAAGTGGCTCAGAATGAAAAGTGAAGCGGCCTCTCTCCCTTCCTCTGGGAAGTGCGTGTAACCTGACTGGGCAGAGGGTCATCAGGGATGGGGACGTGCTATGTGGCCTTCTCTGCAAGCCAGCATCCGTGTACCTGGCAGGCCCGCTGCCCTCCCCAAGGAACCTGCCTCCCACGAGCAGGAACCTTCCCCGTCACGGGGCACACGCACCTGCCAGACGAGGCTCTGCTCTCAGACTGCCTTTGGCCCCGTAGGCAGATGACCTGGGTACTGGATAAGCACAGTGCACAGGATGTAATCAAATCCCAGCTTACTGTTGTGTCCCACAGCCCGTTTCCAATGTATTCTGTGGGAGAAGCTCCCCTATGACCCATGGAAGGAAACTGAGCCTGTCATGAGATGTTCCATTTTCTCCTGGGGAATAGACAAGCCTAGGACACTTTTCCTCACAAAGCCCAGTCTTACTTCAGAAACTAGTTATAACTCAAAACTCCAGTCTTAATTTAGAATGACATCTTCTGCCCCACCTCCAAGAATGGTTTCAGGTGGGCTGCAGGCCCTGCAGAAAGGCCTGTGGGAGGATTCCCTGATCTTCCTCTATGCCCACTAGGGGTGGGGTACAGTGAGGAAGGAGGGAAAGAGGTACCAAAGTTCTTAACTGAGCAGCTGCTATCACGAAGTGGGCCTGGCGGAAGTGTAAGTCTTCTTCTTTCTCTCAGGCGCATTTTTGAGGATTCTTAGGAGACCCTCCCCCTGAGCTGGGGATCCCTTATTTAGGGTCCACCTGCCATCTCTGTTTCAGGAGCTCACTTCAAATTACTCCTTTAGCCCCGGAGAATCCAGTTACCACCCTCAGCTTCCTGCACCTTCGGCTTTGCCCCATTCTCCCACAGGCCCACTCTGGACCCAGAAAATACTCACGGGTTCATTGCCCCACAGACTCTGGGGGTTCGGGCTCACCTAGCACACCAGCATCTCTCTCACCCGCTCAGTTTCCTGGGCAGGAGTCAGACCCCAGTTTGTCATGCACCACAACTGCAGGGGTGACGACAGCTCTCCAAGTGCGAGCTTAAGGTGAGGGGTCAGGTACCCCAACCCACCCTTCGGGAAGGAAGGGAAGGGAGCTCACAACACAGCTTTCTCCAAAATTAGGTTCCTCACACAGTATTCTCTTTCCCCCCATATCCTAACTGCCCCTGATCTGGGCCATTTCCTTTGTAAATTCTGCATTTGGTCTGGTCTGGTGTGCAGCCAACTATCATGCCTTGTGGGAAACTTCGATTTTAGTATCTTGTTATTTGTGCATACAAAGACCATTAAAATAAAAGGTAGGCTGTGTGCTCTGTGAGTGGAGCAGGAACGCAGAAGCGAGTTCATTTTTCATTCACCTGCTCCTTCGGCAAACATGGCGCATGCAGCTCCTGGTCTAGTACAGGCTTGTTTCCCGAGAGTCCGTGAGCCCCTTGGGGATTTCCTGGAGGGGCTTCCAGGTCTGAGAACCAGCCCCCACCCTGTTGTTGCAGCATGCTTCAGGAAAGGCTTTGCAGAAGCTAGTCTTTGATGGTATTTTAGGCAAGAGGGGCTGGGTGCTGAGGCTGGGAGGTGGGAAGGCACTTGGGACAGCTGGGGGGTGGGGCGGTGGGGTTCATGGATGGAAGGGCTGGGCAGGCAGGAAGCTTAGGCAGCTCTGAGGGGTTTGGGCTCTCAGCTCTCACCGTGTTCAGCTCTCCTGGGGGTAGCATGGAGTCTTGGTGAGGGACATTCTACCTCTTTGGCTGAGCTGTGGGCCTTGAAAATAGGGTGAGGTGGGGGCCAAGACCCTGCTTGGGGTCTAGAGCGAGATCTTCTATTTGGGATTTAGAGGGGAAACCCTCTGCTCTTCCAGAAATGTCATCTCCAATCCTCTACCCCTCCCCACCCCCGGTTCAGAGCTTTTAAGGCTTACACCCAGCCCTTAGCTCTGGAGAACAAAGAGAAATGCCTGCAGATCCCTGGGATGGCCACCTCCTAGGCAGATGGTGAGCTCTGAAACCCCTGGCCCGGGCCACAAAAGCTCGGCCTGAAGTCTCAGAGCAGGGAGCTGACTCCTTCTCTCTGCAGGAAACAACAATAGCCTCCCCGGTTATCCTCCGTGTGGATCCCAAGGGCTACTACTTGTACTGGACGTATCAGAATAAGGTGAGGCAGCCCCTACCTACCGTGGCCCTGAGCTCCCGCTGTTCCATTGAGTCCAAGCAGCCTCTCGATGACACAGGGGTGGAGGTGTGGATGCCAGGAGTATAGAATGACCAGGAAGGGTGGCTCTGGGGGGATCTCCTGTGGGCAGGGGCTCTTTGCTTTGGGAGGGAGGATGCAGTCACTCCAACCATGGCTGCCTTGGGCCCAGATGCTTCAGCTTTAGCATCCCTTGGAGAGAGAGAGAGAGAAAGGAATTAGAGCTACTGCTGAAGGCTGATTCCCTGCCTGTGGTTCTGGGTAAACTTGAGGGCTCAGAGAGATCAGAGAAGGTCCTCGGCACCTGGGCGGAAGGAAGGGAGGGGGAACCTGGGGAGAGTGCAGGATGGTGGAGGGGAGGCTGGAGGTCACAGCTCTCAAGTAACTCCAGCGGCCAGGGGAGGAGTGGCCAGAGAGGAAGGGAGGAGGGTCACCATGAGGAAGGAGAGCCCGATCGCTGAGGAGGGAAGGCTGGGGTCTGGGAAGCCCCACAGTCTTGGCATCTAGAGAAGGCAGCTGGCCAAGATGTGAAGGGGTGTGAAGCTCCCTCCTCGCTGCCCTTCATTCTTGACCTGAGGTCTCTGTCCGCATCCTGTCTTTGCTCCTACCAGGAGATGGAGTTTCTGGATATCACCAGCATCCGGGACACCCGCTTTGGGAAGTTTGCCAAGATGCCCAAGGTAAGTGGGCCCAGTAGCAGCCCAGGCTCAGCACGGCCACCAGCTCCACGGGGCTGGGGCAGGAGTCCCTGTGGGGGCAGGGAGCCTGATCTCTGGAGCCAGGGAAGGGTCCGTGGGCTGAGCAGAGGGTCTCTTCCTGAGCTGAGCAAGAGGCGTGACTGCTCCCTGGCTTGCAGGGGCTTTGGTATCAGGGCACAGTGGATGGAGATGTTGCGTGGCCAGCTACTGCCCCTAGAGCACCCCAGGCTGTCTGGGAGGTGTTGCTTGCATCCTCTCCCCCTCCACCCTGACTGCTTTGCCTATATTTGCCTAATGCTGGTAGGAAAATTGGAGGAAGGGATTGGTGGAAAGCAGGATTCCCTGAGACTGGGGACTAAGAATCTGTCTTCAAATGAAAAATGGCAAACAAAATACACAGAACTCCCAGGCCCCAAAGTCTTGGTTAATCTCTTCCTGTGGGCCTCTCCCTCCCGTGGCTCCTAAGATGGGCATGGATGGGATGCCACCCCCGTGGGCCAGATTTCAAGTGGCTGAGAGGGAAAGACAGGGAGAGCCACAGTGGGCAGGGACGGGGGCACACACCTCTGATCCTAACCGTGTCACGACCTGCTGCAGAGCCAGAAGCTCCGGGATGTCTTCAACATGGACTTTCCTGACAACAACTTCCTGCTGAAGACGCTCACCGTGGTGTCTGGCCCCGACATGGTGGACCTCACCTTCCATAACTTCGTCTCCTACAAAGAGAACGTGGGCAAGGTGCACTGGGGGCGCCTGGCCTGGGGCTGGGCACCTGGGACAGCCTGAGAGACGGGCCTGGGCCACGGCGTGGGGCGGCACCTTTGTGGTTGGGGGCCTGACTGCTGTGCTCTGGGGTCCTGCAGGACTGGGCTGAAGATGTCCTGGCTCTGGCCAAGCACCCGCTGATGGCCAACGCCTCCCGCAGCACCTTCCTGGACAAGAGGTAAGTGCCTGCCTGCCTGGCCTGAGTGCGTGGGGCTAAGTGTGTCAGCCCGGGCCTTGACGGGCTGCCTTCTGCCCACCAGCCTGGTGAAACTCAAGATGCAGCTCAACCCTGAAGGAAAGATTCCTGTGAAGAAGTGAGTCTCCCCTCCTCCCTCCCCACATGTCCTCTGAGCTCCCCAAGGCCTTCCCTCTCCAGGCCTGACCCCTCTCTTGGCCTGGTGCTTTTCTCTGCTTCTTCAGTTTTTTCCAGATGTTTCCTGCTGACCGCAAGCGGGTGGAAGCTGCCCTTAGCGCCTGCCACCTCCCAAAAGGCAAGGTGAGTGGTTCCCCCCTCTCCAGCCCACGCCCAGCATTCTCCTTCTCATCTGAGTTGCCTTGGACTGGAGGGCACCCTGGGCAGGCCTGGTAGGGATGGGGAGGGCAGGAATGACAGTTCAGTCCCAGCCAACAGCGCGAAAAGTCAGTTCACTCTAGAGCCACCGGTTCCTAATACAAGGCACAGTGACAGAACCGGGGCAGGGGGTTGAGGTGCCCGGGTTCAGAGCAGGTTGGTCTATACCCCTTCAGCTCCAATAGGAAAACATTTTTCCTTTCTTTTTACTTAAGTAATTTTTAATTACAAGTCGTATGCTGGGTCACCCCATGAGATGCCTCATGTGACTTACAAAAAGGAGCCCTCTGGGCAGATGCAGCCCTGAGCCAGGGTTCCTGCCTGGCGGGGGTAGATCTCAGGCCCCTGTCCTCCCTTGGCCAGTGCCTTTGTGGATTCCATGGAGTCTTTTCTCCTGGTAAGAATTTGGAATGTTATAAATAAATAAAACTAAGGCCTCGTAGATCACTTGTCCACATGAATCTCAGAAGGAATACTTCCCCCACACTCAACTCTACGGAGCTGGTGACCCCTCGGTGCAATGAGTCACAGGGGATGCAAGCTTGGGGTTGGGGAGAGGGTGGGAATGGGCTCCTGCTAAGGGCACCACTTGGGCTGTCACATCCACCCTCCTTTTCTCCTGCCTCCCGAGTTCCCACCTTGGCTAAGTCCTCCTTATTTATCAGCTCTCCTGCATCCCGGTAGGAGCCGTTGAGCCATCTTTGCTTGCAGCCGATGGGTCCAAGATTCGGTCGAGCTATCCTGCTCAGAGCCTCTGCTCCAAACTAAGACTGATGTTGGCTTTCCAGAATGACCCTGGAAAACATTTGACGGGTTTTTCTGGAATGGAATGCAAAGGCACAGAAACCCTGAATGCCACCAAATCTACTTTCTGTTTCTGTTTCTATGGATTTGTCTATTCCGGACATTTCTTGTAAATGGAATCATACAATATGATGTCAGCCTTCATTCATTTAGCACAGTGTTTTCAAGCTTCATCCATGTTGTATCACGTATCAGTAGTTCATTCCTTTTTTATTGTGGAATACTGTTCCATTGTGTGGATATACCACATTTTGTTTAACTGTTCAACAGTTGATGGACATTTGGGTTGTTTCCACTTTGGGGCTATTATGAATAATGCTGCTATGAACGATTCTGTCCGGACGTATATTTTCAAGTCACTTGAGGACATAGCTAGGGGTGGAATTCTTCTGTCATATTGTAACTGTACACTTAACATTTTGAGGAAATTCCACACTGTTTTCCAAAATGACTATACCATTTTACAATCCCACCAGCATTGTATGAGGGTTCCAATTTCTCCACATCTTCATCAACACCTGTTATTGTCTGTCTTTTTTTTCTTCTTTTTACTTTAGTCATTCTGTGAGTGTGATGTGGTATCTCATTGTGGTTTTATGTTATTTATTTATTTATTTTGGCCATGACACCCGCCTTGCGGGATCTTAGTCCCCCAACAAGGGATCAAACCCGTGCCCCCTGCAGTGGAAGTTCAGAGTCCTAACCACTGGACCGCCAGGGAATTCCCCTCATTGTGGGTTTGATTTGCATTTCCCTAAGGACTAATGATGCTGAGCATCTCTTCATGTGCTTATTGGTCATTTGCATATCTCCTTTGGAGAGATATCTATTCAAGTTCATTGCCCATCTTTCAGTTGGGTTTTCTTTTAGTGTGAAGTTGTCTACTACTGGATATCTGATTTGCAAATATTTTCTCCCATTCTTTTTACTTTATTGACAGTATCCTTTGGAACACCAACATTTTTAATTTGGATGAAGTCCAATCTGTCTATTTTTTGTTATCGTTCCTTGTGCTTTTTGGTGTCTCCAACTATTGTTGTTGAATTGTCTATTTCTCCCTTCAGTTTTGTCATTTTTGCTTCGTGCATCTTGGGGTTCCGTTGTTAGGTGCATTGTTTGTATGCAAATTGCTTCTTTTTGAAAATTTATCCTCCATTTAAAAAGAAAAAGATAGCCCACAGTTCTGGCAAACAGCATACAGTAGCTTGCTTCTGAGCTCTTTTCTTCCCAGTTCTGGTCATTCTTAGTTTGAATCCTGTACCAGCCAAGAGATTAGCCAGTATCAATCCAGGGGCAAAGCAAACCAGCTAAGATGCTCTCTGCTCAGCAACCAGGGCCTTGAAAAGTGGGGGCTCAGGGTGCCCTCGATGCTCTTCTGTCTGCCCTGAGCCCTCCCTCTCCCCAAGCCGCCTCGCGCAGGGCTGGGCCTAGTCTGTGGTTCTTAGTGCTGGAAGGTGGGGGCAGGAGTCATCAGGTGGCTCTCTATCCCCCCAGAATGATGCCATCAATCCCGAGGACTTCCCAGAATCCGTCTACAAGAGTTTCCTCATGAGCCTTTGTCCTCGGCCAGAAATAGATGAGATCTTCACTTCCTAGTGAGCTTCTTGGGCTGGGCTGGTCTTGGGGAAGGGGTGGTGGCTAAAATTCCCACCTGCCATGCTGACAATTAGGTAGCGTGGCTGGAGAAGGGGGTTGTCCCAGCTCCCACCACACACACCCCCGCCCCCAGCCCAGGGGATATAGAGGAGACCTGTGCTCCTCTCTTTGGCCTGCAGCCACGCCAAGGCCAAACCCTACATGACTAAGGAGCACCTGGCCAAATTCATCAACCAGAAACAGCGCGACTCCAGGCTCAACTCCCTGCTGTTCCCGCTTGCGCGGCCTGACCAGGTGCAGGGCCTCATCGACAAGTACGAGCCCAGAGGCATCAACGTGCAGAGGGGTGAGGACTAAGGGAACTTCTGACCCTCCACGGTCCTCTCGGGTCCTGGCAGCTGGGCTGCTGCCCTGACAACCACCCCTGTCCCCCAGGCCAGCTGTCCCCCGAGGGCATGGTATGGTTACTCTGTGGGCCAGAGAACAGCGTGCTGGCCCAGGACAAGCTGCTGCTGCACCACGACATGACGCAGCCGCTCAACCATTACTTCATCAACTCCTCCCACAACACCTACCTGACAGGTGGGCCCTGGCGACCTCACTGCCAACCTCTCCTTTTACGGGGGCTGTTCCTGCTCCCTGAATCCCCTGCAGGGGTTGCCCACGGGCTGCCCACGATGGAGTGGGGCGGGGCAGAGCTGGACTGCCCTTGAGTGAAGCCCCCGCCCCTCGCCCCTCCTCTGGCTCAGCCGGCCAGTTCTCAGGCCTTTCCTCTGCCGAGATGTACCGCCAGGTGCTGCTGGCGGGCTGCCGCTGCGTGGAGCTGGACTGCTGGAAGGGGAAGCCCCCTGACGAGGAGCCCATTATCACCCACGGCTTCACCATGACCACAGACATCTATTTCAAGGTGAGACTCGTCATGTGGAGGCTGGTGGCAGTGGCACTAGGGGAGGGCCCTGGGCCATGAGCTTTTTGGGGTTGGGGGGAGTGAGGCCAGAAAGGAGGGATGGCTGGGAGGCCTTGGACCAGTGTGGGTACTAGAGAGGACCAGAGACACAGGGCCAAGAGTGGCCCTCCAATTCTATGTGTGTGTTGAAACTGGGGAGTGGGGAAGGATGCCGCTGAGGGAGGCGAAGCCTGGAGGCACAGCACTGACCTCCCCATGGGGTCCCCTTCTCCTCCAGGAAGCAATTGAAGCTATTGCAGAAAGTGCCTTTAAGACCTCCCCTTATCCGGTCATCCTGTCGTTTGAAAACCATGTGGACTCGTGCGTATCCAGGCCATCCAGCCTCATTCTCTACCTGTCCCCATCTCCCGCCTGCAGCTGCCCTCCCCATAACTGTCTCTAGCCTCTAGCCATGCCTTCTGGCTCTCTCCCGGGTCTCAACACAATCTCCTTGGGACCCCAGGCTCTCCTGCCTGTGTCCCTGCCTCCCCAACATCTTGAGCCCCTGATCTGGGTCATCAGGGGGCACAAAAAGATGGACAAGAGGGTGGAGTGGAGCTGCTGAACCACACCCACTTCTGCTCCCTGCAGACCCCGCCAACAGGCTAAGATGGCTGAGTACTGCCGAACGATATTTGGGGATATGCTGCTCACAGAGCCACTGGAAAAGTTCCCAGTGAGTGGACTTCACTGTGGGGCATCTGGGTCTGAGGGCTGGGGAGCCAGGGCAGGGTGCCAGATTAAGGAGGCAGATGTCCCCAGAGGATGCTGGGGTTTATTTGGGAGGACGTGGGGCTGGGGTCCTACCATCTACCATGTGTCAGGCACTGTGCTGGGCTTGGGGGGTATGTCAGTAGCAGAGGGGCAGTCCCAGCCTTCAGATCACTTACCCTCTAGTCAGGAGGCAGACAAGTAACCAGGCCATTACAACCAGTGGCTGCTATGAGAGCACCTGGGGCTCCAGATCTGGTCTTGAGGATCAGGGAAGGCTTCCTGGAGGAGGTGATGGCTAAGCTGAAACCTGAGGGAAAGAATGGATTTATCTTGGTGAGAGTGGGGAAGGGTGTTCTAGGCAGGCTGAGTAGTTGAGAAAAGATCACTGAGGAGCTGGGATAAGTTGGGTCAGGCAGGGGTTTAGCGCACAAGGTGGGAGTGATGAGAGGAGAGGCTGGAGAGTTAGGCCGGGGGCAGGTGGAGCATAGCTTGCCATGCAGGAGCTTGGGCTACTCCCTGGAGGTGAGGAGATAGCGCTGAGGACCCTGTCTCCTCTCCCACAGCTGAAACCAGGCATCCCCCTGCCCAGCCCTGAGGATCTCCGAGGCAAGATCCTCATCAAAAACAAGAAGAACCAGTTTTCTGGTCCCCCAGCCCCCAGCCAGGAGCCGGGTGGGGAGGCTGAGGGGAGCGGCCCACCCAATGTCCCTGTGGGTGAGGACACAGGTGAGGCGGCCTGGGAGGAGTGGGGGTGGCCGAGGAGGAGCATCTGGAATGGGAGAGAGGGGCTGGGCCTGGAGGGGAGAGCCAGCCTGGTGCTGGGGTCTCCCCCGCCCCCAGTGCTGATGGAGCTGTATGTGGCAGTGTGGGCTGGTGAGGAAGGGGCTGAGCTGGAGGAGGAGGAGGTGGAAGAGGAAGAGGAGGAGTCGGGAAGCCTGGATGAAGAAGGGATGAAGAAGATGCAGTCAGATGAGGTGTGTGGGGAGCCCCGAGGCCCTTCTGCCAGCTCCACTGCAGAGCCCTCCAGGCGGGGGGGTGGGACCAGGCCCCTGGGCTCTGAGCTGGCCTCTTCCCCATCTTCCCCCCTTCTCCCTAGGGCACAGCGGGCCTGGAGGTGACGGCTTACAAGGAGATGTCCAGCCTAGTCAATTATGTCCAACCCACCAAGTTCATCTCCTTCGAGTCCTCTGCCCGTGAGTTAGCATGCGGTGGTGGTAAGCTGGAAGTTAGGCTAGATTCGGGAGAAGGCCCTTAGGACGCGTGTCCGGACGCCAGAGCAGCCTGATGGGTGGGGGTGCGAGCGAGGCGGGTCCTCCCTCTCCTTGGGCTGGGGGCCCTGTTTATAAATACCCAGCAGAGGAGCCAGGCAAAGGCATGTTTAAGTGGCAGTGGCCCCCAGTGTCCCATCACTGTACTGAAAACTTGGCACCAAGCAGAATGCTCTGGAGTGTGTCGGTGACAGGCAGGTCATTTACCAAGGGCCACCTCGGCCGGGCGGCCTGGGGCTCCTCCAGCTTCCTTCTGTGGCTGCCTGGGCATGAGAACTCCTGGGAGGGGGAGGAAGGCAAAGAAACCAGCCAGCGCACATCTGCCCCTTGTTCCCTTCCCTTTCTGAGTGCGTCCACGCTGTTTACCTTTATCTTCTCCGGACATGCGCGCAATGAGTTCCTCTCACCCCCTGTGCACAGCCCCAACACGAACACCTTTTTCTGCATGCACTCTGCAGCACTGGCTCGTCATCCCTGAAGCCCCAGCCTGCACCCCCTCCTGTGCACCACCCTTGCTGTGTGCCTCTCACCCCTGCACCCTGTTCCCTGTGCATCACAGCGTGTTCCTGACCCCCCGGGCTCATCGCTGCGTGTTTCCCACACCCTCCGCGTCCACCCAGGGCATGTACCCCACTTTTTAGGACTCTGGCACGCACACCCCATCCCTGTGCGTATGTATCCACTGTGCGTACCCTTTACCTCCAGCACACACTGCTATCCACACAGATCTGCATATTCCCCACCCCGGGGGTGGCCCCTCAACCCTCAGCCCTCGGTGGAAACGCTAGGTTGGAGGCATCTCTGTGCTGGAGGGAGCCGCGCCACAGGGGAGGGCAAGTCTGTGGGAGGGGACAGGCTGACGCGGACTCTCCTTCCTCTTTCTCCCCTACACAGAGAAGAACCGAAGTTATGTCATTTCCTCCTTCACGGAGCTCAAGGCTTACGACCTGCTCTCCAAGTCCTCAGTGCAGTTTGTGGAGTATCCTTGAGACCTCACTAGCCAGGGTCCCTGGTGGGGTGGAGGGAAGGGGGAGGCCTGGGATGGGGCTCGCAGGGGGTCTGTGGGTCTTCCCGGCGCGGGTGGCTTTGCTGGCTCCTATACCCTGCGGCAGCTACAACAAGCGCCAGATGAGCCGCATCTACCCCAAGGGCACCCGCATGGACTCCTCCAACTACATGCCCCAGATGTTCTGGAATGCTGGTTGCCAGATGGTTGCCCTCAACTTCCAGACGATGGGTGAGGGCATGCTCAGGCCCTTAAGAACCTTCCCCTGCCCCTCCCACCTTTACCCCTTCCCTGGGGAGGGGGGGGTCTTTGGAACAGGCCTGGGGGCAGGGGGGCTGATGTTCATTTAGGCTCTGGGCGCATGTGCATGTGTGTGAGCGTTTAGTGCATCAGCTCACGCCTATGTGACTGCACGTATACGAGTATGTCTGTGATGATGCCAGGGTGCTGGCATGGGTTCTGGCTGCTCGGCCTGAGTGGGTCTGTGGGAACACCTGCTCCACTGGCCTCAACTCCCACTGTGAGCTTGAGGTCCGGTTGTGGCTTTGCTCCTGCTGACTCCAGGTTGCGGGCCCTTCCTGAGAGATGAGACCCTAAGGAACCAGGCTGGGACATGAGAAACCCTCATCCTCACGGTCCACCCAACCTCCCCATTTGCGAGACGGGAAAGGCTGGGAAATGTGGAAAGAGAGGCTGCGTGCAGACCCAGAGCCGGGCCGCCCTTCCTGAGTGCCCTTGTCCCCCCAGACCTGCCCATGCAGCAGAACATGGCGCTCTTTGAGTTCAACGGGCAGAGTGGCTACCTCCTCAAGCATGAGTTCATGCGCCGGTTGGACAAGCAGTTCAACCCCTTCTCGGTGGACCGCATCGACGTGGTGGTAGCCACCACCCTTTCCATTACGGCAAGGCCCTGAGGTGGACAAGTGGCCGGGAGGGCTGGGGTCTTGAGGAGAAAGACACAGGAGCCCCACTCCTCCATTCCCAACCCCCTCCCCTGATATCCCGAAAACTTCAGCCCCAGCCAGTTCGTGAAGTAGCAAGTTGCCTTGGAAACTGCCTCCTCCTCAGCACTGGAGGCTGCCTCTTGGTCCCCATGGAAACCAAGGGGAAGGGCTGAGGCTGGGGTGGGGGAGGGGGAAAAGAGTGGGGCAGCAGGAGCCCCAGGCCCCGGGGGGAGGGCCCTGTTCCTTCCTCGCTGGGGAGGGAGGTGGGGAGGCCCACACCTCTTCCCTAAATGCTGGAAGCACCCTGGGTGCCAGAGCTTAGCTGTAACCCTTAAGCCACACAGCCTCTACTCTGTGGCCAGAATTGAATGGGGCTCTTCACAGTACCCAAGAATGGATGTTTCAGCTAGGGGGCCTGGAGGCCCTAAGTTCTGGGGAATGGCCGGGGTGGGGGAGCTGATGCTGGTCTCCCATGGGCCCCAACCTCCAGGTGATCTCTGGGCAGTTCCTGTCAGAACGCAGTGTGCGCACCTATGTGGAAGTGGAGCTGTTTGGCCTTCCTGGGGACCCCAAGAGGCGCTATCGCACCAAGCTGTCACCCAGTACCAATTCCATCAATCCTGTCTGGAAGGAGGAGCCCTTTGTCTTTGAAAAGGTGGGGCGGCTAGATCAGGGCAGGGGCTGGGATCTGTCCCTAGTTCTTGGTCTCTACTTGTAAAAGAGAAAATACATAAAGGGATTTCCTCGATCCTCCTCCTCTCCCCACCCCTCATCTGTGCCCTCCTGAGTTTCAAGAGTCCAAAAAGCAAGTTTACAGAAATTTACTTTGTGGGCAAGTTTTGTATGTGTGTGTACATGTGTGTATGTGCATGCTTGTCCATGTTACGATTAGAGGCAGAAATGTGAACTCCCAGACCAGGGTGCAGGGACCCAAGGAATCACGGGGGCCTTTTGCTCCCATTGGATACTTGTTGACAAAGCTTCCAAGGGCTGTCTGCACCAGGCCCCCTGGAGCCCTGGGCTGCATATCCAGCTCTCTGCCCTGTGTGGACCAGCCATGACATGAGCTGTTAGGATGTCTATGTGTGTGGCTTAGAGTGGGCCCTCTGTCCTCACCAAATCCAGTAAAGCCTGCCATGTTCTCACACTGACCCTAGATTTCTGGAATCAGGGAAGGGGGGCAGCTCGGCCACTCTCTCCCCTCTCCAGCTTGTCCTGTCCTGAACTCTCCCCAGATCTTGATGCCTGAGCTGGCCTCCCTCAGGGTGGCTGTGATGGAGGACGGCAACAAGTTTCTTGGACACCGCATCATCCCCATCAATGCCCTGAATTCTGGTAAGGATAGGGGTTCTTCTTTGCTGTTCCCAGTGGGTCTGAGACCAAGACCAGCATCAGGATCCCGTCCAGAGTGTGGGGCAGCTTCAGGGAGGTGGCGTTGTCATTTTATCAGCCTGGGAAAGTGGGGCAGGAATAGTACCTCTCCGGGAAACTGACAGAGGTGGGGACTCTGCCCACCCAACACAATGTCTCTAATTCTCTGAAACTACTGGGGCAGTTTCCCAAGTAGCTGACACTTATTGGGCACTTAAAATGCTTTACGGGCTTATAACACTTTCTCACTTAATCCTAACAGTAACCACATGAGGTAGAACCAGACTAAAGCCAGAAGTGTCGAGTACTGGGCTGCTGGTGAGCAGTGCTGGGCAGCAGTGGGCTCTGGCTCACTGGTCACCCGGTCATGTCCCACAGGATACCACCATCTGTGCCTGCACAGCGAGAGCAACATGCCGCTCACCATGCCTGCACTCTTTGTCTTCCTGGAGATGAAGGACTATGTACCTGACACCTGGGCAGGTGGGAGGCCCCTGGAATGTTGGAAGCCCCAGGGTGTCCATCCCCCCTCCTCTCTCCGCAAGCCAGCCTCCAGAGGGGGGCAGGACAGGGTATTCTGGCGTAGGTGAGGATGGGGGAGGCTCCCAGGTACATCTCCTTACCAGGCCCATCAAGTCCCTGTGCACCCAGATCTCACGGTGGCCCTCGCCAATCCCATCAAGTTCTTCAATGCTCATGATAAGAAGTCTGTGAAGCTCAAGGAAGCCATGGGAGGCCTGCCTGAGGTCTGTGTTGTCAGGTCCACTGCCAGGGGCCCCCATGAGCTGCAACTTCTCCTTGGGAAGATGAGGGAGGGGGCGGAGTCCAGGGCTCAGGGAGAGAGACACCTTCCTAACACGCTCTCCCTACACAGAATCCCTTCCCTCTCGGGAGTCCAGTTGCCCGCCAGGTCAATGGGGCATCAGCTTTAACGAGCAACGGGTCAGCAGGTACGCACTGCAGGGTCCCCGCACCTACCGGAAGGGTCTCGATCTCTCCGCTGCACCGGCGGGCACATCCCAGACAGGCGGCAGTTCTCTATAAAAACAAAAACAAAAACCACCCCGAAAACTTTCACCTGGGGAGGGAACGGCTGCATGTGAAGCCTCGGGCTGGGCAGTGCGCAGCAGGGGGTCCACACCGCCACCCCCGGGAGGCGCGGTAGCGGCCGAGCCGAGTGCACCGGAGAGCCTCTCCTTTGGCTCTTGCAGCAGCCGGGGCCAAGGCCAGGGAGGAGGCCACGAAAGAAGCTGCGGGTAAGGCCTGCTGAGACCGAGTCACGTTGGGGTCGAGCCCGGGGAGGGTCCGGGACTCGGGGTGGGGGGGCGGTTCCCGGGGGGCGCGCGCCTCACGCCTGCCCCAGCAGAGCCGCGGACCGCTAGCCTGGAGGAGCTGCGGGAGCTGAAGAGCGTCGTGAAGCTGCAGCGGCGGCACGAGAAGGAGCTGCGGGAGCTGGAGCGGCGCGGCGCGCGACGCTGGGAGGAGCTGCTGCAGAGGCGCGCGGCGCAGCGGGCCGAGCTCCGGCCGCCGGGCGCTGGGGGCGGCGGCGAGGGCCGGGGCCGCAAGCTCGGCCCGGGGAAAGGCTCCAGCATAAAGAGGTAAGGGCAGCGGAGGCATCCTGCCCCCCGCGGCTCGGGCGCGGGCGGCCTGGGGCTCACGGCTTGTCCCCACATGGCCTCCGCAGGACCCCGCCGGGCGAGGACCCCGCCGGGTCGGCGCCGGCCGAAGGCCCCGAGGGCGCGGGCGCGCGTCTGCGAGAGCTGAGGGACAGGCTGGAGCTGGAGCTGCTGCAGCAGGGCGAGGAGCAGTGCGAGTGTGTCCTGAGGTGCAGGGCACAGCAAGTGGCCGAGGTGCCAGCGTCGGGGAGGGGAGGGAGCGAGGGCCCGACCGACCCCACACCCTCTGCACAGCCAAGGGCATCTCCTCGGGTCTTAGCTTAGCCGGTCCTTCCTCTCCCTCAGCAAATGACCAAGATGATGGAGCTGGCCAGAGAGAAACAGGCTGCAGAGCTGAAGACCCTCAAGGAGACTTTGGAGACGTAAGACTGCCTCCCTTCTACGCCTGACTCTTACCTCCCAGGAGGGCCCAAGTCGCAGGAAGCATCTTCCTGATGCCTGTTTCTCTGCAGTGACACCAAAGAGGTGAAGAAAAAGCTGGAGGCCAAGAGGCTGGATCGGATCCAGGCCATGATGAAGGTCACCACAGACAAGATGGCTCAGGAGAGGTGAGCCCTGGAGGGGAGGCACAGGACTCAAACTCCAGGCCCAGTGCTGAGCAAGAACCACACTGGGTGGGAAGGGGCCTTCCTACAAGTGGGTCCTGACTTGCTTCCCAGAGATGTGCCTGTCTCCTGGTGCTGGAAAGTTAATTCTACTTCCGTCACCTCTGATCAGAGAATGTCCTCCTTAGGCAAAACACAGATGCCACCACTATTTGAGGAAAGAGGAGAACTTAAGGGAAAATCAAGTGTGTAAAGAGGGAGGTGAAACCTTGGGAGAGCTGATTCCCACCTACACTTTCCCATGCATGCCTTGAAGAACAGTGCGTTTTAGTGAGGAAGCCCTTCCCTCAAAGGGCCCCCAGGGCTCCCAATATCTCCTTAGATCCTCCTTGGGTCCCCATGCTTACCTCTCTGGCTGGTTCCCAGACCAGACATAGATGCATGCCAGCCACAGAGGGTTCTACGATGGAGTTCTCATGTTGCCTACACCCTGTGGAGAATTTGTCTCATCCAGCTCTTCCCGGGGGCCTCCTGCCCTCTCTGAAACTCTGATCACCCCAACAGGTTGAAGAGAGAGATTAACAACTCCCACATCCAGGAGGTGGTGCAGGTCCTCAAGCAGGTGTGTATGAGCTGTGCCCTTCCCAAACACACTTTCTCTCTCTGAGGGAAGGAGTGGCCCCAAGGCCTTTACTTTGCCCTTAGGAGATGCACTGTTTAGAGTGGCCCACCAGCTAGGGATGGGGGGAGAGGCAGTAGAGGGGAGGGGCTTCCCCTAGGCCATCCAGGGTTCTGACCTTTGTGCAGAGGTTGGGATACCAGCCTAAAGGAGTCTGTCTTTGGCCAGCTGCCCTCGATGGAAATGATGTGGGCCAGCTGGCCAAGCGGAGGTGGGATTGGGGTGGGTGGGTAAGAGGGAGCAAGGGAGCTTCCAGAGTTAGACTTCCAGGGAGTCAGAAGAGGAAGGAAAGCCCTGTGGAGAATGGCCCTAAAGCTCCCTGGGGATTACTAACAACAGTAACAGAGCTACCAGCTCCTGAGTCCTGACCTTGTGCAGGCACTAAGCCGGGTGCTTCACATGAACTGTCTCATATAATCCTTCACAATCCAGCAAGACAGGTACTATTATCCTCATTTTACAAATTAAGAAACAAAACAAAACAAAAAACCCAACTTTTCAAAGGTTAAGGAATTTGTCCAAAGGCTCCAGCTCGTTGACTGGGATTGTAGCTGGATTCCACCCCAGACTGCCTGCCTATGCTGTCCTGATTCTCTGTCTCTCACTCCTGCCCAGATGACAGAGAACCTGGAGAGGCACCAGGAGAAGCTGGAAGAGAAGCAGGCAGCCTGCCTGGAACAGATCCGGGAGATGGAAAAGCAGGTGACGGGGGGGACCACTACCCTGGCCCACAGCAGAGCTGGCCTGGCTCCAGGGTGTAAAGGGACCCAGCTCCGGGGGGCTGCGAGTCAAGAGGTGGGTGGTCGTGGGGGACTTGCCCCTCTCCAGGGGGTCAGGGCTCTGATTCCCAGGGGATCATGAGGCAGCTCTGCAGATCTCTTTGCTTGGTTGGTATTCCCTCTCCTGAAAGACCCCCTGATGGGCTCCACTACCCCCACCTCCCACCCTGATCTCCTGGGAGGTCTGAACAAACCAGGCATCTCCTGGTTCCACTGTTCAGGCGAGGAAGAGTGGGCGGGTGGCCCATGCTGAGCCAGGGGGTGGTCCTTGCTGTCCCCACAGTTCCAGCAGGAGGCGCTGGCACAGTACGAGGCCAAGATGAAGGGCCTGGAGGTGGAAGTGAAGGAGTCGGTGAGGACCTACCTCAGGGCCTGCTTGCCCTCTGCGGAGGAGGACAAGCCTGAGAGGCCCTGCAGGGTCTCCAGGGAGCTGTGTGAGCAGGATGCACTCACAGAGAAGACAGATGCCCAGGAGACCCTCCTCTGATGCCCCCATGCCCTTGGGACGTTCTGCAAGGACATTCACCCTTCTCTGGGACGTGAGTCCATTCCCCCTGGAGGAAAGGGCCCCAGCACCGTGAAGCTGCGGGAAGCTGGAGCTCCCTTGGACACTGGAGCCCCTTTCTCAACAGCCAGGCTAAGTAGGAGGCAGGAAGCAGGCCAGCTGGGGCCCGTCTGGGGTCTGAGGTCCTCTCCGTCCAACATCCTGCCCCTCCTGCCTCCGCTTCCCCTCTGAACAAGCGTCTGTCACATTTTTGTTGAGGGCAAAAGAATATGAACTTGGAGGCATGAAATGGGGCCCTGGCCCCACTCTGCATTTCCTAGTGTGCCGCTCTAGACTCAGTTTCCTCACCTGAAGGGTTAGGCCTGGCCACCTGGAACCTCTACTCCATCACCTGTAGTTCAAGCAGGTCCAAACTCCAAACTCTCCTGCCATAAGGCGGGCAGCTCACCCTGGCTTCTAGGCCCCATCTTGGGCTTGCCCTGAGTTGGCCTCATTGTCAGCTCCCTAATACAGAGTCCAGCACTTCCTTCCAGCTCCCTGCGGACAGCTGCTCCCAGGATCCCAGGCTAAGGTGCCTTCCCTGCTTCCTGCCTTTGGGGGATGGGAGGCTGATGTGGAAAAGCTGCCTCAGCTGTGTGGCCCTCAGGCCACTGAGACAACTGGGGCTGGGGGTGAGGGGAGAAGGACGGCCTTTTGTGCACTCTCCCACCCAGAGCCCAGCCACCCCTTTTCCTAGGCCTGGGGGGTACTTCCCAGCATGTGCCCCAGCTCAGGCTGTCCTGACAAGGTCAGCACCATTTTCTCTCCTGACTTTATGAGGTTTATTTATTTTTCTCTTTCTTACTCCTGCTAAAGAACCCTGTCTCAAGATTTCCTGCCTAAGCCTGGCCTCTGTTCTACAGCTAAGAAAGGCGGGTGGGGATGGGCAGGGCTTCCCAGGTGGCGCAGTGGTTAAGAATCCACCTGCCAATGCAGGGGACACGGGTATGAGCCTTGGTCCGGGAAGATCTCACATGCCGCGGAGCAGCTAAGCCCGTGCGCCACAACTACTGAGCCTATGCTCTAGATCCCGCGAGTGACAGCTACTGAAGCCTGAGCACCTACAGCCTGTGCTCTGCAACAAGAGAAGCCACCGCAATGAGAAGCCCGCGCACCGCAACTAGAGAAAGCCCGCGCGCAGCAACGAAGACCCAACGCAGCCAAAAATAAATAAAAGAAATGGGGGGGGCAGCGGAGTAGACTGCCCCCCTAATGAAGTGGGCTGGGGAAAAAGTCCATGAGAATTGACCTGGGCATGAGGTCCCTTCTAGAGCCCAGTGGAATGGCCCTGCCTCTGGGCTTGAAGAGGATTCACTTCCCCATCTGCTGGCCCTGATGCCACAACCACTGGAAAATGATGTCACCCTTCTGCTCCACTCCTCACCAGATGTGGCCCTTCCTTGTCTCCACCCTCAGGGCTGGAGCAGAAGAGCCTCCTGCAGAGGTGCCCCCCACCCTCTTGGGGAGTCGCAAGCTGTCAGGCCACCTGGGCCCCTTTAGGCAGACTTAGACCAGTGGTATTCTCAGGCTCCTGGGGCCGTTATGGTTGACCCAAACACAGGCTGTAGAGAGGCTTCTGGGCAGCTATTCACTGCACCTATTGACATAGTCCCAAATCCCAAATGAAAACAGACACTGGCTTCGGAGAGGCAGGGTGGGTGTTGATTCTGGGCTGTTTTCTTATCAGAGAGTTATAGCAAATGCCATTAGCCCCTCCCCCCATCCCTCTGGGGGCTTGATCTCTGTGATGCTAGCAGTCCCTGGCTGCAGGGTGAGGCTAGGGGCCTGCGCATTCACAGGAGTAAGGCCTGTCATTGGTCAGCCTGCATACACACTGGAGACAGCGGAGGGCGGGACACCTACACCCCAGGGCAGTGCCCTGTCTTCAGCACTCCAGCTGAGCACTCAGCTGCCCCATCTCCTCCCCAACCCAGGGGTAGAACCTTACAGGGATGAGGATCCAGGCCTAGAGGAACTCACTGACCTGGGCATGGGGCATAAGCCGGAGCCAGTGCCAAATAGGGCCCACTGGTCAGTCCCCAGCTTTGACCAGTGACCGCTCAGGGGAAGAAGACTGCCTTCTCTGCCCCTCAGTCAGGCTGGGCAGAGTCTCTAGGCCTCCAGTCTGGGGCTGAGAAGCCCAGGAATGGGGAAGGGGATGCAGTCCTCCCTCCTGGAGAGGCCTCTGCACAGCAGGCTGGGGGCTTCCCAGGAGGGCAGGGCAAATACCCACCTCCCTGCTTTCTGTCCTCTGGAAAAAGGGCAGGGTGCCCCTGGGAAAATGCCACAGTCCTTGGGCCCTGGACGGGAATTAATCTCTGGCCTCAGGGGATGTGCAGAGGAAGAACTGATGCCGTCCCTCAGGGCTCTAGAGCAAGGGAAGAACACCTGGCTTCCACTCCTGCTGCAGATCTGTGGGGCTGAGGCCAGCTTCCCTATCCACTTAGCATGCCTCAGTTTCACCTTTTGCATCAAGAGAAGGGTCCCTACCCCCTTCCCAATCCCACTGCTGACTCAGACGCCAGAGTCCCCTGCTGACTCACAACCCCCCCCCCCCCCAGCTCTCTGGATCTCCCAGCCACGTGCCACCAGGCCCAACCCTGCTGAGCTGGTGCAACGTGACAGGGTGAGGGGGCTGGTGACACTTGAGGAAGAAAGAAGGGGGCCTGGGAAGGGGGGCAGCTGCAGACAGAGTGACAGACTGCAGGCCTGAGCCGCCTCTGGGAGGAAGCCCTTTTGCCAGCCTGGGGCCTGCAAGGGGGAGGCTCAGCAGGTGGGAGGGAAGGGGAGTGTGGCGTGCCTGCCTGCCCCCTGCCTGCCTCAGCTCCATCGCCTGTCAGCCTTCAGCTCCCTAAGCGACAGCTTCTAATTCCGGCTGTTGGTGCCTCGATGCTCCTCAGCAGAGTCTCAGCTTTTTTTCATCGTTGCTATTTCTTTTCTGCTCAGAACATGCTGAGCCCACTGGGAAGTCAGAGCAAAGGCTTTAGGGCATGAGACGTGGCACTGCCCCCCCCATCCCACCTCAGGCCTGGCTGGGTTGGTAGTACCAGCTGGGGCAATGGAACGGCCGCTCCTTCCAGAGAGTACCCAGCACAGCACACTCTGACGGGCCAGGGTGAGGACCTGATTCAGCTCCTCTTCTTCCCTGGCACTCTCTCCATCCACCACAGAGAAAAAGGACAAAAATGAGGCTGAGCTGGCTCAGGGAGGAGGGGCAGGGCTCTTTGGGACCGGTGCCCCTTCTGTGTTCCTGCTGCTTCTCTCCTCCACCTGGGGGTGTCACTGCCTGGATTGTTGGGCTGGCCTGCCACACAGATTCCTGGGATACCCCCTCCCCTAACCCTGGAAACAGAGAAAGAAGAGAAGAAAGCAATTTTCTTCATGCTGCAGAAAAGGGAAATTGAGTCATGAAGAGAAGAAAACCTTTCTTCTGCTACCTGAGTAAACAGGGAGAGCATTCCTGCGTCCTTACTAGGCTTGGCGAGTCTATTCCTACTCCAGGTGGGGCCCGCAGGTCTGTGGGTGGGATTGGGCTTTCTGCACTCTGAATAACTGTGCAGCTCTTTCCCTGACACTCCCTAGCTTGCTGTTGCTTGCAGCAGGCAGGGTTGGTGTTCTTGGCTTCCTTTTGCAGATGAGAGCATGCAGGCCTGGAGCCACACTGCTAGTAAATGCCTTCAAGCTGGGACTTAACTCTGCTGTCAGATGCCCTTTCGGTGACACCATGAGAGAAAAGTGGCAGATCTCAGAGTAGGGGGATTAAAAAATTCAAAAAGTCAGAAGGGGGGCGCTTCACGGTGTGCACAGGCATACATCACATGCTCCGCCCAGGGGAGAGGGAAGTGGGAGTCCCTGCTTCACGGCTGGCCCCGATGCCATGTGGGCATCTCTGAAGCCTGGGAGCTGGAGAGAGGTGAGAAGCTCAGGGTGCGGAGCTATGTGCCCACTTTGCCACTCCCCCATCTGGGCCCACGGGCTTTTCCCAGAGGCAAATCCTCTCCTTGCCCATACCTTTCCCCAGGCAGAGCCTGCTGCAAAGCTTCTGGTCACTGCTTTGCCCAGGCTGAGGACACCTTTATTCTTCCCTTAATTTCCTGTCTTTCATATAAAGGGACCCCTTAAAGCAGCCCTCAGCACTAAAGGTGTTTTTCCTGCTTACGTGCCCTTGCTTCTTAGCAGCCAGCTCCCACACATCCTTGAAGACCATTTCAGAAGCCCTATTCTCAGAAGACCCTAGAGTCCGCCTTTCCCCACAACTCCATTTTCTCCTCCAGGGACTGTCTCCGTTTTGTATTTAACATACGTATTCAGCCCCTAGGCGATAAACTCGACTTTTTATGTCCCGATCTTGTTTTCCCACTTGAGAGGGGAGGTTTCTTCCATCCAGAACCGAATTTCCGCCTCTGTATTTCCCACGGCTGGGAACACACAATACCTAGCTCACAAAAAGTCTCAGTAAATTCTGTAGTCGATACCTGACTCACTTCTTTTTTCACAAATATCCATTCCAACCCTACACACCTTCCCACCCTCTGCAGCTCTTAGGTGCTCTGACTCCCCTCCTCCGAGGCCTGCTCCTCCCCCCCCCCCCCAGGGCGGAGCAGCGGGCCGGAGGGAGAGGGGATACGGTAGTTTTCTCACACTCTGTTGACTCGTGCTCTCTTCTTATCTCGGAAGGGTTCAGCTAGTGGTCAAGGTCAGAGCCCTGTGGTCTGGGGGTGGTTTTGTGCTCAAGAGGGAGATGGGGACCCTGGGGGAGGTTTGCATGTCCCTCGCTCTTTCCGGGGTGGCGATGGGTCCTGAAACAGCGGGGAGGCGGCACCGAGGAGTTGCTAACGCGGCTGCAGTACTCCCGGATCTTAAGGCGCCCGCTCCAGTCGCCGCGTCTCCGCACCGCCAGCTTCTCAGCCGCCGGGAGCTGGCAGGCGGGCGCGTTGTCTCGGTTGGAGACGTCCGAGATACGAGAGCGCACTCCCCCACCGCCACCCCCGCGCCGAATCAGCGTGTGCGGGAGGAACAATTGTGTGTGCGTGCGTGATTCGCTACACTTCCAGTGGCGGTTCCCAGCCAGACTGAGGGCCCCCAACCCCGCGCAGCGTAGGTACTCCCCCGCCCCCCGATTTGGGGAGTGATTTACTCCCCGCCCGCCTTTCGCCACCACCCCCAGCGCGCTTATGGTCCAGTTCTGCCCTCATGGGGTCCCACTTCCTTCCAGCCGCACCGATGGGGGCAGTCCTCGTCTTCTTCGACGGGCTCAGGGTCCCTCCAGTTTCTATGGAGCCCCGGGCACCGACTCCGGTGGGGGCGGAGGGTGGGGAGAGAAGACTGTGACTTTGGGATTGGCCCGGTCGGGTGCATGTGGCCCCCTGCGAGCAGCCCCCGCCCCGCCCCCGCTGCCGCAGCCCCAGGGAAGCGCGGAGGAGAAGCTGCTCCCCGACGTCGTGGCCCACCGAGAGGTGGGTGAAGGTCAGGGGCGGTCTCCGCCGCCCCGTCAGTTTCGGCTCTGACGGCTCAGCCCGCTTCCTGAGTAGCCATTGCCATGCAGACCCCCGAGACTATAAAACCAGGTATCTATGCGGGCGGCGACTCCCGCGCCGCCAAGCCCCCCAAGTAAGGAGCAAGCGCCCTGGCGTGGCCCGGCCCCCGCGAGAGGGGAGGAGGCGGAGGAGCGGCGCCGGGAGATTGAGGAGCGGCGCGCCCCGCCAGGGCTAGAGGCAGGCGCGCACGGCGGGCGCCACCGTCTCAGCAGGGGAGCGGTGCTGCCCCGGGTGTGGGTGAGTGGCGTGGCTCCCAGCCACGACGGACTGAGGGGCGCCGGACACTGGGAAAGC